ACAAATTTACAAAAGTTTTGACCTCGTATGCTTACCATACCGTGTCTAAAAATTGTGCATGGAATAGACCGGTCTGTTCCATGCACAGTTTTATTCCCGGAAACTCTGTCGTGAGCGAGTTTTTATGAAGGTTCCTGAATGGCGTCGTTCTTCAGTGTTTCAGACTCTCATGCATCACCACAGATAATCAGACTGTTGTGTGTGTGTGTGTGTGTTGATTGGGGATTGTACACTTCATCCCTAGACTTCGTTCTTCGTATCCAGTTTTTCGTTTTTCTCCCGATTTTGAAGATCCTACACTGCTGGACTTGAAGTCTGATAGTCGCTTGTCGGAGCACTGAGTCAGTCTGTCTGGGTCTTGCAGTCTTCCCCGTTGTTATTATTATTATTATTATTATTATTATCGCATATCAGGACCTTGATTGCTTGTTACCCTACGTGTGTTCAGGTTTGTCTGGGCTTTGCGTGCGTGTCATTATCAGTGCAATGCGTGTTATCCGTGCAGTGCGTGTTATTATCCGTGCAATGCGTGTCATTATCCGTTCAATGCGTGTCATGTGCAGTGCGTGTCATTATCCGTGCAATGCGTGTCATTATCCGTTCAATGCGTGTCATCCGTGCAGTGCGTGTCATTATCCGTGCAATGCGTGTCATTATCCGTTCAATGCGTGTCATCCGTGCAGTGCGTGTCATTATCCGTGCAATACGTGTCATTATCCGTTCAATGCGTGTCATCCATGCAGTGCGTGTCATTATCTATGCAATGCGTGTCATTATCTGTGCAATACGTGTCATCCGTGCAGTGCGTGTCATTATCTGTGCAATGCGTGTCATTATCTGTGCAATGCGTGTCACTCCGTGCGAGTGCGTGTCACTCCGTGCGAGTGCGTGTCACTCTCCGTGCGAGTGCGTGTCACACACAGTATTGACAGGTTCAACACAGCAGAGCATCACTTGAGCTTAATTCTATTTCAGTGTCAGTACAGTAGTGGAGGCGGGTATCGACCTGTGCCCCACCCCACCCTAAAATCCTCTTCCCCTCCCCTTCCCTCTTGTTGTACGAGGGAAGGCTTGTTATACAGTGGGGTAGGCGATGGGAAAACTGAGAGTAGGATGGGAGATAGGATGAAAGAGAGTAGGGTGAGAGACGAGGTTGAAGGGAAGAGTGGGTGGAGATAGAGAGAAAAGAAAAAATGGAATAATACTGATTGAGAGAAAGGAAAGGGAGCCAGTACTATGAAAGTCAGGAGCTGATCGGTGAGGAAAGAGTGGTAGAGGGAGACAGGTGGTGAGGGAGACAGGTGGTGAGGGAGACAGGTGTGGTCATTACCTGCAACTAATGCATTTCGGTGGCTCGCGATCTGAGAAAGGTGCCCTTTATTTCAGAAAGGTATCCCTTTATTTCAGAAAGGTATCCCTTTATTTCAGAAAGGTATCCCTGTATTTCAGAAAGGTATCCCTGTATTTCAGAAAGGTATCCCAGTATTTCAGAAAGGTATCCCTTTATTTCAGAAAGGTATCCCTGTATTTCAGAAAGGTATCCCTGTATTTCAGAAAGGTATCCCTGTATTTCAGAAAGGTATCCCTGTATTTCAGAAAGGTATCCCTGTATTTCAGAAAGGTATCCCTGTATTTCAGAAAGGTATCCCTGTATTTCAGAAAGGTATCCCTGTATTTCAGAAAGGTATCCCTGTATTTCAGAAAGGTATCCCTGTATATTTCAGAAGCCCAGCCGTCCCTACCTCAGTACACGTAAAAGGAATAGTGGAAGGCGGTGATGAAATTTCTAATGCGGTAATAAAAATATGTAACTACTGTATGTATACGTATGTATCCATGTGCGTATATACGCATTTGCATATGCATTCATATGCTTATGTTATAGTGTTTGCTTACGTGTCTTTCTAAACCATATGCGAACATACATACGTATGTATGTATACTTTGTGTATATGCATTAGGGCATGTATGTACAAATTTGTAGATGTATGAATGTTCATATCTATATGCATATGTATTCTTGTGTTATGTATGAACTCGTGCGTATACACACATCACTATGTATTCATGTGCATACGTAAGCATGTATATTCATATACATATATATGCGTGTGCATGTACGTGTTGATGTATTAACAATTAAGACAGTCACTGGTCAGTACTGGAGGGGTAAGATAAGATTTTGTTCGGATTTTTAACCCCGGAGGGTTAGCCACCCAGGATAACCCAAGAAAGTCAGTGCGTCATCGAGGACTGTCTAACTTATTTCCATTGGGGTCCTTAATCTTGTCCCCCAGGATGCGACCCACACCAGTCGACTAACACCCAGGTACCTATTTGCTGCTAGGTGAACAGGACAATAGGTGTAAGGAAACGTGTCGGAATTTCCACCCGCCGGGAATCGAACCCGGGCCCTCCGTGTGTGAAGCGGGAGCTTTAGCCACCAGACCACCGGGGTGACTCCTCTAAGGCAGTCACTGGTCAGTACTGGAGGGTGACTCCTGTAAGGCAGTAACTGGTCAGTACTGGAGGGTGACTCCTCTAAGACAGTCACTGGTCAGTACTGGAGGGTGACTCCTCTAAGACAGTCACTGGTCAGTACTGGAGGGTGACTCCTCTAAGACAGTCACTGGTCAGTACTGGAGGGTGACTCCTCTAAGACAGTCACTGGTCAGTACTGGAGGGTGACTCCTCTAAGACAGTCACTGGTCAGTACTGGAGGGTGACTCCTGTAAGGCAGTCACTGGTCAGTACTGGAGGGTGACTCCTGTAAGGCAGTCACTGGTCAGTACTGGAGGGTGACTCCTGTAAGGCAGTCACTGGTCAGTACTGGAGGGTGACTCCTCTAAGACAGTCACTGGTCAGTACTGGAGGGTGACTCCTGTAAGGCAGTCACTGGTCAGTACTGGTGGGTGACTCCTGTAAGGCAGTCACTGGTCAGTACTGAAGGGTGACTCCTCTAAGGCAGTCACTGGTCAGTACTGGAGGGTGACTCCTGTAAGGCAGTCACTGGTCAGTACTGGAGGGGTGACTCCTCTAAGGCAGTCACTGGTCAGTACTGGGGGGTGACTCCTGTAAGGCAGTCACTGGTCAGTACTGGAGGGGGGACTCCTCTAAGACAGTCACTGGTCAGTACTGGAGGGTGACTCCTCTAAGACAGTCACGGGTCAGTTACTGGAGGGTGACTCCTGTAAGGCAGTCACTGGTCAGTACTGGAGGGGTGGCTCCTCTAAGGCAGTCACTGGTCAGTACTGGAGGGGTGACTCCTCTAAGGCAGTCACTGGTCAGTACTGGAGGGGTGACTCCTCTAAGGCAGTCACTGGTCAGTACTGGAGGGGTGACTCCTGTAAGGCAGTCACTGGTCAGTACTGGAGGGTGACTCCTCTAAGGCAGTCACTGGTCAGTACTGGAGGGGTGACTCCTCTAGTCTTCACTTCTATGTGATGATTCATCCCGGTGTTCACAGTGGTTAAAAATAACCTGTTTTTAGATTGTTCCCTTCTGTTTATATTACTTCTGAGTTTTTTTTCCTGTTTATATCAAAGGAACCAATAGATCATAATAATGGAAGTTTGAAGCCGATCAGAAAAGCTATTCTTTAGTAATTGATCTGAATCCAGAGTTTCGGGTAAAATTTCAAATTTGCATTTGCTTAGAGTAAACTTAGTGTATTTCTACTTGTAGAATTAATTGTCCATAATATCTTGAAGTCAGTCACCCCTCAAAGGAGGTTCCTTGATGCTGGTGAGGGCTCTTGATCTAGGGAATTGTGATCTGTGCTCCAGTTCCCTGAATTAAGCCTGAATACCTTCCACATCCCCCCCCCCAGGTGCTGTATAATCCCTACAGGTTTAGCGCTCCCCATAATAGTAATTGAAGCCAGTCAGACGAAACAGTCTTCAGTTACGGAATACAAATAAATATCACTGTTTATTCGATAAAAAAATAGCAAATTAGGTCTCACACCAGCCAATAGCAGCGAGCGTCTTGTGATCAGGTAACCCACATCAGTGATGAATATTTGACACCTGTCAGGTGAGTCATTTGTACTGATGCTGGTCATATTCCTACAAGTACCCACGTAGTGGAACCTTTAAATAAATAAATAAATAAATAAATTAATAAACTGAGGTCTTATGATAGCTTACCAGTCCACGCTGATCCAAGAGATCCCCGTATTGCATAACCCCAGCCCCCTGTACCTCACTCAACGCAATATGAATAAGGCAGAGTGCGTCAATAGTTTATAATGCAGTTAAATATTAGTGTTGACGATTTTCAGTGAGTCAGTATCTGACACACTGTATACATACTGCTCTCATGTATGGAAACAACACATCTAATAGCACTCAGCTCATACATTGAGGTCAGTGGTTCGATCCCCGGTATGGGTGGAAACAGGACATGTTTCCTTAAGACACCTGCTGTCCATGTTCACCTATCACAGTAAAATAGGTACTTGGGTTTTAGTCGGCTGGTGTGGGGACAAAATTTATCTACTTGTCCGAAATGCTCTGCATAACAAGGGGGGCGTTCTATATAGTAGTACAGTGGACCCCCGCTTAACGATCACCTCCAAATGCGACCAATTATGTAAGTGTATTTATGTAAGTGCGTTTGTACGTGTATGTTTGGGGGTCTGAAATGGACTAATCTACTTCACAATATTCCTTATGGGAAAAAATTCGGTCAGTACTGGCACCTGAACATACTACTGGAATGAAAAAAGTTCGTTAACCGGGGGTCCACTGTATGTCATTGATGTCAGCTAGGCCTGTGTACCATGTACATCAATAACAACACTGCGACTAGCCAAGGAGTCGAACCCATGCTGCTTTGGCCTGCCTAATGGTGGGCGAAAACTCATGACGCCTTAATCCACGGGACCACACAATCCTTAAGAGTAGCGCATCCAGCAGAACTGGATGTTGTACTCGCTACCCAAGGACATACGTTGGTGTGGATGACTCTAGGCTAAATGTAGATATTATTATTATGGGACAAAATATTAAAGTATTTATTTCTTTGCAGGATGTCTGGGGTGGGGGTGGTGGGTCGGTATGTATCACGGAGCTGGAGTAGCAGAGGTGGGGCAGGCCATCATGGCTCTCCCCGCCACCACCCTCCACCACCACAACGCCCCAGCTCACCCTGGAAGATACCTGCCTTCTTCAGGAGGAAGTTCGAGATCGCTCAGGTAACACCCACCTTCCTTTTTATTGCAATGGAGAAGCGCTAAACCTAAAAAAAAAAAGTTATCTGGGGTCCGGGTTTATCTCGTTGAACTTTCAGTATCTTTGCATCGAGATGAACCCTGTCATGCTGAATTGATGATTTATTAATCCTGTAGTTCTAAACTTAATTTTTGTTCCGGGATGACTTTTTGTTGCTTAAGATTTTTCTAGTAATGTCAAATCATTGTAGGTGATGCCACGTTGTTGACCGTAGCTCTTGTCACATCCACTCTCTTCTGCTACTCTGATTTCATTGACTGTTACAGAGTATAAGTTTAAAACCTGTTGATTGCAAGAGGGTCACTAAGGCTGCATGTCACCTGTACACAGCCAGTATATACAGACATAAGCACCTCTTAGTGTATATACCTGCTGGTGGACTCGTGCACCTTCATCCATTTTCTTTATACGGTGGTAACAAGGCTACATTCCTTGCTAGATACCTATGAAGTCCATTTCATTTATTTCAATATTCTGACTAGCATTTGTAAGCTTGACCATTCACAAAGTTTGTTTGCATCATTCTGCATGGAATTAATGCTCACTTTCTTTGTAAATATTTGTATAATCAACAAATTTAATACTATGGTTAGATTTTTTCTTGACGATTTTATTGTAATTGACCACATACTTTGTAACTGCGCTGAGAACATTAGTCAGTCAGGCGTCATTACCACAGGCCTTAGTGATCATTTCATCATTTACTGCACCAGGAAAATCACTAGGGATAGGGTAGGCCTACACAGGACAATAAAAATGAGGTCAACTAGAAACTACAGTAAAGAAACACTGGTAAATAGGCTACACAATTGTGACTGGACAGAGATAACAAGTTGCACGGACGTAAACGATGCCTGGGAAAAATTCAAAACAATGTTCACTACCATCCTTGATAATATTGTACCAGTTAAAGAGGTTAGGATTAAACGAAGAACTGAACCCTGGATGAATACTGAGATATTAGATAATATGAAATTTAGAGACCAGCTGCTAAAAAGATTTAAAGCAAACAGACAGGATATTGCAGCACTGAATGAATTCCAAAGGGTGAGGAACAGAGTACAGAGACTTATAAAAGGAGCAAAGGCAAAGCACTACTGCTCAAAACTGAAGAGTATAAGCATAACCCCAGAAAGCTCTGGCAACAACTAAAACAGTTGGGGTATAGCCATAAGCCAGTAGATAGGTCTAGCATAGTACTCACTATCGATAATGAGGTATGTCACGAAACAACTAAGGTGGCAAATTGCTTTAATTCCTACTACACATCTGTTGCATCAACACTAGTAAGTAAACTACTAGCTGCATCAAATACCTTTAACACAGACTCTGATAAGCTTCAAACATACTATACCAGTAAAGGGGTAACCTCAAACAGTTGTCAATAAAATCCCAAGCTCAACATGGGGCTCAACAACAATAAACCATCTCAGACCACTAATCACTCAACAAAAGGCTGCAGTCAGAATGATAACAAATTCCCACTACAGACAACACACTCCACCAATATTCAAAACTCTAAACCTACTCACAATACAAAACATCCATACTTATTACTGCACCTACTACATACATAGAACACTTAACTCTGACATAACCCCTCCCCTCAAACATCTTACCAACCTCAACAGGACACATGACCATAACACAAGGCACAGATCACTCTTTGATGTTCCTCGTGTCCATCTCACGCTATGCAAAAACTCAATGCACATAAAAGGCCCTAAAATCTGGAATTCATTACCTGTGAATATAAAAGAAACACTGTCTGTTTATAAATTCAAGTCTCTTCTCAAAAATCACTTACTCACTCACAACTAAATAAATACTGAATAATTGTATCTCATAAATTGTATCTTATATATGTATCTCATTAATAATAATCATAAATGTCAACCTGTGACCCAATCAAACTTTGTTACTATTTAACTTCATTACCTAACAGAATACTCCATTCTACTGATTACACAGCAACACAGTAATGACCATATGACCTGTCTTTGTAATACTCATTTGTACTAAATTGTTATCTGTTTTACAATAATTTTTGTACCACTGAATATATCATTGCTTAGTTAATCTTAAGTTAATTTTAAGCCTGCCCATAATGCTCTGCATACAAGGGGGTTTGGCATGTTGCACTTTAAAAATTGTATTCCTTGTACTTCTCTGTATCATGTTTTAATTAATAAATAAATAAATAAATAAATAAATAAATAAATAAATAAATAAAAACTAGTAAGTGTATCTCATGCCTTTATTCAAAAAGAACTAAAGTTAAACCCAACTAAGAGCACTGGCCCGGATAACATCCCGTCTAAGTTCCTAAAAGATGGTGCTTCTGAACTGTCAATCCCTATTGCTCACATAATAAATCTATCACCACTAATACCGTACTTGAGGGGTTCAAGGAAGCCAGAGTTACTCCTATCTTCAAGAAAAATAGTAGGTCTGATGTCAGCAACTATAGGCCTGTTAGTATACTCAGTATAATATCCAAAATTCTAGAGAGGGCGGTGTACTCTCAAGTAGTTAAGTACCTTAATGATGACAACATTCTCCATAGCTATCAATCAGGCTTTAGAAGATCTTACTCAACCAACACCTCCCTAATTAATCTGATGGATTATTGAGAACTGAAATGTCAAAGGGAAACCTCATAGGTATAGTAACCTTAGACCTGCAAAATGCCTTCGATACTGTCAACCACAATATATTATGTAAGAAACTTCAAGCTATCGGTATAGGTTCTCTAGACTGGTTTAAGTCCTACCTTAGCAACAGGAGACAAATTGTCAAAATCAACAAAACGGAATCAGAACCCCTGCTGATAATATGCGGAGTTCCCCAAGATAGTATTCTAGGTCCCTTAATATTCTTAGGTTATGTCAATGACATGCCTATCAGTGTCAAGTGCAAACTCCTACTGTACGCAGATGACAGTGCCCTGTTAGTGTCAGGTAAAGACCCACAAGATATAGCTAATGTTTTTACTCTGGAACTGGAGTCCTGCAGCAAATGGTTAGTAGACAACAAACTATCATTACACCTCGGGAAAACTGAAGCCATTCTCTTTGGCACGAAACATAAACTGAGAAGGGTAAATAATTTTAATGTCCAGTGTAATGGGGAGCCCATCACTTTGGTTTCATCAGTAAAATATCTGGGAATCCCCTTTGATCCATGCATGTCAGGAGAATTGATAGGGAACAGTGTAGTAAAGAAAGCGAATGCCAGACTGAAGTTCCTGTATAGACAAGCACAGTGTCTACCTACTGAGGCTCGCAGGACCCTATGTCTAGCCCTTATACAATGTCATATGGATTACGCTTGCTCTTCATGGTACTCTGCCTTGACAAAAAAACTGAAAGATAGACTGCAAATCACCCAGAACAAAATCGTAAGATTCATCCTGAGGCTGGGACCAAGAGAACACGTAGGCCAGGATGAATTACAGCAGTTGGATATGCTGAATGTTGAAGACAGAGTAAAACAACTGAAGCTAAACCATGTTTATAAAATTGCTCACAAACAATGTCCAGAATATCTTGCTGTCAATTTTGTCAAGGTTGGGAGCCAAAGCAATCATAGTATGTACTAGGGGGAGAACACAACTCTGTAGTACCCACAGTCATTGGCCAGGCATCAAACACCTTTTATTGTACAGCAATAAAGGAATGGAACAAACTACCTGCACATGTCAAAGCCAGTCATAGCATGAACCAGTTCAAGAAGAGTGCCAAAAGGTGTCTGATAAATGTAACTACAGAAAGGGAGGGGAATGATTTTCTATTTTTTAGCTAACATATGTGTAAATTTGACCTTATTCTTAGTAATGACCCTCGTATTGTAGATAGTCTTAATGACCCTCGTGTAGTAGATAGTCTTTTTAGTATAATAACAAGATGTTATCTTCATTATAGAATAATAAGAAAATTATTACTTATTTTTTTTATTATCACACTGGCCGATTCCCACCAAGGCAGGGTGGCCCGAAAAAGAAAAACTTTCACCATCATTCACTCCATCACTGTCTTGCCAGAAGGGTGCTTTACACTACAGTTTTTAAACTGCAACATTAACACCCCTCCTTCAGAGTGCAGGCACTGTACTTCCCGTCTCCAGGACTCAAGTCCGGCCTGGAGTTTACCTGGAGAGAGTTCCGGGGGTCAACGCCCCCGCGGCCCGGTCTGTGACTAGGCCTCCTGGTGGATCAGAGCCTGATCAACCAGGCTGTTGCTGCTGGCTGCACGCAAACCAACGTATGAGCCACAGCCCGGCTGGTCAGGAACCGACTTTAGGTGCTTGTCCAGTGCCAGCTTGAAGACTGCCAGGGGTCTGTTAGTAATCCCCCTTATGTATGCTGGGAGGCAGTTGAACAGTCTCGGGCCCCTGACACTTATTGTATGGTCTCTTAACGTGCTAGTGACACCCCTGCTTTTCATTGGGGGGATGTTGCATCGTCTGCCAAGTCTTTTGCTTTCGTAATGAGTGATTTTCGTGTGCTAGTTCGGTACTAGTCCCTCTAGGATTTTCCAGGTGTATATAATCATGTATCTCTCCTGCCTGCGTTCCAGGGAATACAGTTTTACGAACCTCGAGCGCTCACAGTAATTGAGGTGTTTTATCTCCGTTATGCGTGCCGTGAAGGTTCTCTGTACATTTTCTAGGTCAGCAATTTCACCTGCCTTGAAAGGTGCTGTTAGTGTGCAGCAATATTCCAGCCTAGATAGAATAAGTGACCTGAAGAGTGTCATCATGGGCTTGGCCTCATTAGTTTTGAAGGTTCTCATTATCCATCCTGTCATTTTTCTAGCAGATGCGATTGATACAATGTTATGGTCCTTGAAGGTGAGATCCTCCGACATGATCACTCCCAGGTCTTTGACGTTGGTGTTTCGCTCTATTTTGTGGCCAGAATTTGTTTTGTACTCTGATAAAGATTTAATTTCCTCGTGTTTAC